TTGCTCTTTTTCCCATGAGTTTCCTTCTGGTGGTTTGCTGTTGCATTTTCACTGAAAGTTTCATTTGCTGTTCTGAAGTTACAATTTAAAATAAACAGGAGATATATGGGATTATTTGGTCGGCAGTTGACTCAAAGTCTTATGCCCAGCATAGTGGCTGCTCCACAGCTGATGCCTACATATACTAATAGTAGGGAACCTCTGGCCCATGAGCTTCAGCCCTCAAGGCTTTCTTTTCTTCTTCTTCTTTTTTTGCTAAGCCACTTCTATCTGTCCTAAAGGTTGATATGCAACAAGTGGCATTTGCAGCAGCGCATGCTCAGATTTCATCAAGCCATTTGGGTTTCTTGTATATTTGTTCTTGCAATTTATAAGTGTGTGTGCACATACATGTATGTTTGTGTGCATGTGTTTGTATCTGAGCAGAACCTGGAATATGCAGAAACTTCTATGTTGTTTGTGGGTAGCCCCATTTTGCCATACTTATAGGTACAGTGCCACTCAATTCTCTATTGATGATGCTGACGATGGTTTGAGCAAGTTTTAGTGCCTGTTTTTTGTGTCAGTGAGCACCAGGCAGCACTCATTTTCTACCTAGACTAGAATTACAACCCTGTGATTTTCCCTCTTTTGTCATATTTGTGTAACAAGCCTGATACTGTATTCAAGTTGAGCTTTTAGGCCCTCAACTTTCTAAGGTACTGAGAGATGATTACTGAGCCACATTTTTCCTTTGCTTGACAGTATATTCTTTGAGGGAATGGTTTTGCATAAGCAGAGAGCATTATTGATGGTTTGTCATGTAACACTGATGTTTGGCTTTGCTTAGATAATTAGCAGAATCACTGGTGTGGGTTGACTTGCTCACAATTATGTATTCCTCTTGAAAACTTGATTCGTTAATGATGCTTTCTCTTCTTTTTGAACTAGGATTATATGTTCCTTTTGAAAACGGGAGGGATTCTGTTCAGTTCAGTAATTTTAAGAAAGGTATACTTTGGCAGTCCTCCGGGGTGTGTGTGTGTGTGTGTGAGGAGAACCCATTCACAGGCTTCTCTCCTTGCTGCTCTCCTTCCGCACAGCTAGGAAGCAAACATGTCACTTATGCGAGGATTAATTGTCAAAGTGCATTACATAAGCAAGTATGTGAGATTAAAGAAAAAACAGTACCTAGCATACATAAAGGTAAAGGTAAAGGGACCCCTGACCATTAGGTCCAGTCGTGACCGACTCTGGGGTTGCGGCGCTCATCTTGCTCTGTTGGCCGAGGGAGCCGGCGTACAGCTTCTGGGTCATGTGGCCAGCATGACTAAGCCGCTTCTAGCGAAACCAGAGCAGCGCATGGAAACGCCATTTACCTTCCCGCTGGAGCGGTACCTATTTATATACTTGCATTTTGTGCTTTCGAACTGCTAGGTTGGCAAGAGACCTCGCATATATAGTTAAGGTAAAACAGTTACATGGATAGAGAAAAATAGTTTCATTTCACCATCCAAGAAATGAAACCTTTTGAGAACAACTCTTTAAGAAGTATGTGCTTTGCTCTTTAGGCTGCTCCCCCAACACCTCCCGGAGCCAGGCCCCCAACGCATTATGTAGAAGAGCTGCCTTTGTGTACTTCCAGCACTTTTGCCTAATTGTATTTCAGCTTGCAGGGACTTGTTGCAGCGCTAATTACCTGACAGTGAAAACTCCCTGCCAAATAGGGTCTTGCCTCATGCTAGGGGCTGCATTTCTAGGAAACCCATAAAAGAAAACAAGATCAGCAGTGATGACTTGCTGATCTGTGGTGGCCCATAGACACAGGTCAAACATTTGTGAAGTGCCCACAAGTACTTTGTCCTCCAGGTTTGGCACCGTTCTGCTGCCGGAGCACTTGGAAGCAAAATGTGATCTGAACCTAATTGAGAAACCAGATGTGGACGGTATGCAGTGTGCATTAGTTCCAACGATTGCCCCACTGGGGGATGCAGACAAATCTGCTTCATCCGCAGAGTTTGTTCTGTAAACACGGAGTTTGTATGTGCATTTGCTGGAAAACAAAATGCTTGTTGTTAAGGCTGTTCGTGGAGGGTTGGGGGAGATCTCACAGAATAACAAAACTAATTGGAAATGTCAGATGTAAGACAGAACCTTATTGTTTGACCATGTTGTTTGTATTTTTATTATCACAGCTAATGTGTCAGATGGTAAGGCAGTGTGAGTTAATTGGTTTCCTTCATTGGAGCCCATCTGGATCATATTTTTGTGAGTGATTTATATGTTAAATTAGGGGATAGGATATACAAGAACATCCTTTTCATTACGTTCTCTAAAGAGAAATTGGATCAAAGGCAGTGCATTTATCTGACTGTTGTTACCCTTCTTTTAAAAAAATTAAAGCGTCAGTCTCATACACATGTTTGATTATGCTTTGTTTTCAGAAGGAAAGGGATTTCAGCAAAAAAGTTAACACCCTTCCTTCCAGTCCTATTCCTCTGTAGAATCAAGAGCAACATCCTTTTTCGAACAGATGAGCAGCCAAATTGTGGGGTGGGGGTGTTTCCGAAATGCTACAGACAACTTCCCTTTCGCAATACCCTCCCTAACCTTTTCCTGAAGTCTGCCTTGGTGTCTAGCTCCAGATCCTTGCATCTTCTCACTCCACCTTCCCCACCCCACCCCAAGTTCAGTAAAAGATGAAGAACAAGAAGGACACTGACAAACTGGAACGTGTCCAGAGGAGGGCAACCAAAATGGTCAAAGGCCTGGAAACGATGCCTTATGAGGAACGACTAAGGGAGCTAGGCATGTTTAGCCTGGAGAAGAGGAGGTTAAGGGGTGATATGATAGCCATGTTCAAATATATAAAAGGAGGTCACATAGAGGAGGGAGAAAGGTTGTTTTCTGCTGCTCCAGAGAAGCGGACACGGAGCAATGGATCCAAACTACAAGAAAGAAGATTCCTAAACATTAGGAAGAACTTCCTGACAGTAAGAGCTGTTTGACAGTGGAATTTGCTGCCAAGGAGTGTGGTGGAGTCTCCTTCTTTGGAGGTCTTTAAGCAGAGGCTTGACAACCATATGTCAGGAGTGCTCTGATGGTGTTTCCTGCTTGGCAGGGGGTTGGACTCAATGGCCCTTGTGGTCTCTTCCAACTCTATGATTCTATGAACTATTGCCAGGGCTGGCCTAAGACACTTTGGCACCTGAGGTGAACCACAGAATGGTGCTTCCCTGCTGCCAGGGTAGAAGGGTTGAGTCAAGCTCTACATAAAGAACCAGGGCAGGGGAGTGAAGATCTAAATCAGGAACAGAGGGGTGGGGATTCAACCTTGATGGTTGAAGTGGGAATCAGAAGCCATTGTGAGCGTACCGCAGCTGTTGCTATCATGGTGGTGGTGGCAGCAGAAGGCAATGTATTCTTTGGAGGCTAGATCTGCTGCCGCAGTGGTCCTATCACCTGAGGTGGCTGCATCACCTTGCCTGATGGGTGGGCTGACCCTGGCTGTGGCTCGCTAGTAAAACACTTGCTTTGTCTGCAAGGGTTCCAAGATTAAATCTCTTGGAGAGAGACCCCTTCCAGAAACCTTGGAACACTGCTACCATTAAGTGTAGATAATACCGAACCAGATGGACCCAACGGTCTGATTCGGGATAATGCTGTTTCCAATAATATGATGAATTGCAAGGTTATAAGATTCTATTTAAAACTTTCATATTTGCATGTTTTCCCTTCGGGTTTTACCAAGGAGTTCTTTGCAAAGTCATAAAAGGCATGGGGATTTGGGGAGCATGGGATGTCAGCAAAGGGTTGGTAAAAAATTGATGCTACACTTTGCCTAAGCAGAAGCGCTTGCACAAAGCCACCATGGTATACTACCCAAGGACTTTAGCCACGTATGAAGGCTGCCGAAGAGTACTTCCATCTTGTGGCACACAAATGTGCAATGTTTAACAACTCATTCTAATGTCTGTCTGGCAGCACACGGTGTCTTCAAGTGAAGTGGTCCAAGTTAAGAGGAGTTTGGAAAGTACTAGTTTGACATTTGATGTGAGACATCAGTGTTGTATTCAGTATAAGGTTGGGGGAGAAGAGAGGTACTAGTTTAGAATCTGCAACCATAATTTGGTTGACAACACATGAAATTTGACATGTGCCTTTTCCCTCTCTTTAGAGCCGCCAGCAGATGCATATAGTTGAAAGAGGTCTGCTGTTAATAGTGTAGTAAACCAACTTCTGGTAAGCTAATGCAGAATGCAGAGTTCCCTCATTAGAAAACCTGTTGATACTTATGAGACTCTTGAGAGTAGCAACTTGTGCGATAACTAATACGTTGCCCGCTGTTGCTGCAGAAGAACATTTGCACAGAAAGGACACAATGTGTTCAACAGTCATAATGTAGGCTGGATCATGTACCTCTCTATTAGCAGAGCCCCCACCACCTCTGCCATTTTGCTCACTGGCTGCGATTTTGCTCATTGCCTATTCATTTCTATGCAAGATGCTGATTATGTCTGTGAAGAGCAGAAATCAGAAGAGTGATTTCAATCATGACTGTGTTAATTTGATGTGAGCTTTCAGCTGTTTATGAGCTTTCGTCTTAATGGTTCTAATTGTCAGTTATAATGTGAACACCATTATACAATAATGTACAGTAATTTACTTAGTAAATGAGAATCTTGTTCCAAGGACCATACTGCAGCATGCCATGGAGACCTAATCCCTGCAAATTAGCGTGCTTACAGTGGCTAGGGCTTGATTCTCTGACAAGGGCCTCTCTTGAAATGGCTTCTGAATTTCACCCAGGCAAGTTAGTGCACTTTCTGAGTCCTTTTTCTGCATGATGTTATTAACTTCGTTAATAATAACAAAGACAGTGCAATACAGAATTGCCTGGTAACTCTTTGCTGCTTTGGCAGAATCCATATTCACAGAAAGGGCATGCTGGGCTGGTTCATGTGTAGCACCAAGACATAGAATCGTAGATTTGGAAGGGACCACAACGGTCAGGAACATTTTGCCAAATGTGGGGCTCAAACCCACAACCCTGAAATTATGAGCCTCATGCTCTACCAACTGAGTTGGATATGGCAGCACCTGAGCAAACCTTGGACTTGCATATGTCCTCACCCACTCTTGTTTCAAGTACAGTGGTACCTTGGTTTACAACCCAAATCCGTTCCGGAGATCCGGTTGTAAACCAAAACAGGTTGTAACCCAAGGCGCGCTTTCGCCAATGGGGCCTCCCCCCCAAAATGGGTTGTAATCCGAAAAAAGGGACACACACTTCCGAGTTTGACGTGGTTGTAATCCAAAACGGTTGTAATCCAAAGCGGTTGCAAACCAAGGTACCACTGTAGTTACTTCCTCTTTAGTGCAAACCGTAGACAATTATTGGAGCTGGAGTGCCAAACTGTGGCTAATTACCGGTTAAATTTATATCCTGCAGTTCTTCCATCATGGAACTCAAGGCAGCGTTCATGGGGTTCCTTAGGTGGTCTCCCATCCAGATGCTAACTAGATCTAAACCTGCTTAGCTTAAGCAGTGTGGCTTTCTCGTGTACTGTTAGACCAGTCGGGGGGGGGGGGTTGTATGTGCCTTCCAAACAAGAATTGCAAGCCACTGCTTCAAAGCGTGATAGGAGGGCAAACAAAAAGGGACAGGTGCACAAAACTCTTCTCTGTAACAAAGAACCAAAAGAGCATTGTGCCCAAAAGGGCTTTAGTGCTGTTTTCTTTCATGGAAGCCAGAGGTGCTGGAGGAAGAGCAGCTGTTGAAATGGAGGGCAATTTCAATAGCAGTTTGTGACACTGCTTTTGAAAGACAAAAACAGCCAGATATCGCAGTAGGGGAGTGCAAGCCCTTGGGCAACAGTAAAAAAGCTCTTTGGATCTCGGCGTGTTTTTTGAGTCTCACAAGTTTCCAAGGGACAAAGATATGAACAGTGGCAGGTGGTGGTGCTCACCTGATCTCCTGACGGCTGAGTTGCTGCTGCTGCTTACTGGGACATGGGGGCAGTGGAAATATGCCTGGCAGAACCAATCTTGCACTCCTAACGGTGCATTTGCACTCAGCCAACCTCCACACTGCATCACCTCTCCCCCTCTCCTTCCCGGTAAGCAGCAGTGACTCAGCTGCCAGGAGGTCATGCAAACACCACCACGCTGACCACTACTAGATATGGGTTCTGCATTGGCTTATGGCAAAGTAATTCAATGCAAGGATGCGGATTTTCATTGTATTTTACAAGGAAAATGGAGTTTGTCAGTGGGACCTTAATCCTGTGTTATCCAGAGGGTTACATGTGCAATACCTAAGGGGATTTTATAGATCTACTTTTGAAATACTTGTATTCTGGTTTCCAAATAAGATGCACTCTGGAACCACAGGACATGACTTTACACTAAAAAATAAAAAATAAAAAAATCTGGATCCGATCCAATATATCTTCAATATAAAATAAACATTCTCATAATTCAGGTCAGTAAATAATAAATCAGCTAATTTCTGCTTGACAGGCTTCAAGGATATTATTAGTTTCCAGCCATCAAGAGGTTGTTCAGGCAAAAGCACAGGTGAAATTGTGCAAGTCTTAGTTTAAAGGGTGTTTGGTGAATGGAGTTTTTATTTATTTATTTTTGTTTATTAAACTTAAATACTGCTCTTCATCTGAGGACCACCTGTTTTATGGAGGGTTTCATGTTTTGTGGCGTTTAAATTTCAGGTACGGCTTGACTGGTGATATACGCTAAGCCATGTTAGATGTATCACTCACTAGTTTGGCTTTCATTGTACTGTAAAGAGAAAATGTTTGTTGACTGGAGAGAAAACAGTTCAGTGATCCTTCAGACTTAATTTTCTGATGATTAGCAGTTTTATGCATTCATCCAGTTATACATGTCATATAATGTGTTAATCTAACGATGTGTTTTATTACGTGGCTCGGCCTACTGATAAATCCTACATTCGCTAATAAGCCTTCGAGCAAGAGAAGATAATCTTGTCTCCTTAGAGTTCCTCTACTGACTCATTCATTCCCCTGTACTCTGCCTCTGCTTGGAAGAACATCTTGGGATTGTCTTCATGAAGTATTCAGTGTGGTCTAATTTTAAGGAAGAAGGATGGCTATAATTCTTATGAAAGCTTGCCTTGTCTGGGCTTCTCTTCTGTCCAAGACGGTTGTCAGTTACAGCTTGTGTTCATGTAATTGTCTGAGCTGATGCACTTACCCTGTTGTGATTGTCTCTTGTGTTTCCCATCTTGTGACTAGGGAATTGGATATGTCTTTAATTAATGATTTTATTGCAATAAAGTCTCCATTTTACAGCAGAATGCTTCATCTTCCAGTAGTGAAATATTTAATCTCCATCTGGCTGATCTTTTCTGCGAATGCCCTGTGATAATTAAGAGGAAATTGGGAGAGGAAGGTCTGAAATTAAAATGTGTTCTGCAGATGTATGGATGGTCTGCAGGAATGGTTTTGCATAGTCTAAGAAAATAAGCTGTGGAGTACAACAGCATAGTCTTATTTTATGGTATTGTCATCTTGCTGTCTGCCAGAGGCAACTAGCTTTCAATCATTCAAATGTCAGAGTGCATGCGGAATTTCAGTTTGAAGGATCCATCCATTGGGCACAGCACCATTAGACAGTGATGGGAGCCTGATGGCAGCATTTTCTTTTCCCCTGAGGTTCACCTCTAGGATGTGTCAGTTCTGCTTCACTGTAATTATGATATAATGATAGACTAAAAGTTAGGCATCTTATCTCAACATAATTCCAATTTTCTACAAGTTTAATCAGAGACTTGTGGGGCAGGGTGGGTGTGTGCTGTTGAGATCAGGAGAGATTTGTTGGAGGTGATGATGTTAGATAAGACTGACAGCAAGTTCCTAGTAGAAAGAAGTTATTTTGAATTGGAGAAAAAAATCAATAAAGAGGTTGGAGAATTTGACAGAGTTAATGAGAGCTATTTAATGGAAGGCAACAGATACAGTGATGCTAACGCTTTAAAAATTACCATGGATTCTCCAGCTCTAGAAAGTTAGAAGTGGGCAACCCCCCCTTTTTTTTTAAAAAAAAGACACATATCAGAGACACTAGGGAAATGTTTAAAAGGTTATAAATAGTAACTAGGCTTGGCTAATAAAAGAGGCCAGATTGGGTTTTGAAATCATACCAAATGGATAGTTTCGAGATTCACATGAAATTGTATGTACTTTTATAAAATAAAATTGTGGCATGAATTGGCCGCTACTTTCTTTACTCATATGCTGCACACTGCTGTTAAATCTATAGGTTTTACAGCTAAAACTCCATATGGTTTTTCTTGCAGCATACAAACTCTTGCAAATTAGTGAACCCTTCAGAATTACCTACCCTAGACTAATCTTCAGATGTATGGGTGTGACCTAACTTTGACATTAAATGATTACAGCAGCCCTAGGCTTATTATTTGTTTAATTGGGAGAGCTGTCAGCTGATTAAATACTTTTTAGCTTATTAATCACCTGGTGTATTTAAAACTGATTGATCAATCACATTTAAATAAACCTAGATATTACCAAATCTTAATGGGGGGAGGGAGAGAAATGAAGATTTGCTTTTTCAACTCTACCATTCACTGGAGAGAAGGAAAGGCTACCCCAAATAAATCTTCCTTTTAAACTTAATTTAATTTCTATTTTGATATTCCATTGTTGTCTAGCTTTTTCACTGGTTTCCTGTCTAGATTGCTGATCTATACAAGATATATTCAGAAAGGTCGCATCTTCAGGTACTGACAGACCTGAAATAGTCACTGGAAAGACTATTTTAAATACATATTTTTCATTTGCTAGTATATTAAAGCGCAAGGAACAAAGAGCCTCAAAAATCAAAAGGTGTGTCTTTTACCTGCAGCCCCACTTCACCAATCAAAATCAAGTAAAGTTTCGTAAATTCAATCTACTGATTAAATCAGGGTTGGTGAACTTGTTTATTATGTAAATAGTAACTAGGTGTCATCCTCATCTCAAAAGATTTTATGGGGTGCATCCTTTTAATCATTGATTCTAAATATGTGTGTGTATGTGTGCGTGACCAGCTCCTCAAAGCCATACAGATTTATTCACACCCACAATTATGGCAGCCTTTTCTGGCTCCCTACTAGTCCCAAATCCTTGTCCCCATAGCCACTTCCTTTTCTTCCCATGGGCTTGAGTGAGCAGTCACAAGCACAGCCCCTCGACTGTTTGGAAAGGAGAGATTTTTCTTCCCGTGACAGATAAGAAGGTACATTCATAGGGAGTTTATTGATCATTCATTTGCCACCCATCTGACTACGTTGCCCCAGCCACTCTGGGAGGCTTCTAGCAAATTATAAAACCACAGTAAAACATCACACATTAAAAGCTTCCCTAAGGGCTGCCTTCAGATTTCTTCTAGAAGTCAGATAGTTGTCTCCTGAGAACGACCTCTGTCTGGTTCCCTGTAACCTCACTTCTTGCAATGAGGGAACCACCAGAAGGCCATCAGTGTTGGATAGCTGGACAATGGAGATGCTCCTTTGGGTATACAGGGTCAAGGAGGTCTAGGTAGTGTTCATGGTTCTCTGTCTCCCCATTTTATCCTCAAAACAACCCTGTGAGGCAGCTTACACTGAGAGATGGTGGCTGTTCCAAGGTCACCCCTTGAGCTTCAGGACTGGGTTGGTACTTGGACCTTGGCTTCCCAGGTCCTAGTCCAACATTCTAAACACTATGCCACAGTTATCACTGCCATGACAAGATTTCCTTATATCTTAAGACAAGGACTTGAAAACCACCACAGCTACTAGTATCCTTGCTGTAGAAACCCATTCACTGTATACCACTATCCTAGGAAACACCTTTCTTTCCTGCAGCTTAAGAATGAGCTTTATGCTAGCTTAACACAGCATGAGTACATTTTAGCCTGTCTAATGTTTGGGAAGGAGAAAGTTATAATTCCTCCTTTTTTTTCTTTTTGCAAGTGGTTACACGCAATAATCAAGTTGTCTCTTAACCTCATTGCCTGAAACTGATTTCATATAATTAAGCATATTAGGAATATTTGTTTCTTGGATGATTCTGCACAGGGCACTTCAAAATACCTCTAAAATAACTAACCCCGATTATCATTATAGAGAGTCATATGCACGTGTAGCAATTAGTAATTAAAGGCTTTCTCTGTTTACTATCCTAGCCCTTTAAGAGACTGGAATAATGATGCACATTCAGAATGATCTTGGGATGGGGAATCAAAACAGAAGGGCCTGTCACCTCACATCTCTTGCTTGTAATCTCAGAGGAACATCTCCAACAGTTCCTTCACATGTGATTGAGACAGCTGGTAGGGAAAAGTTATGGCGGAGTGAATTTGCAAATGTGGCTATGATTCAAAATCAGATAAACTGACTGTATTTGCTTATAATTAGTAAGGATAATTGTCAGAACTTATTGCCCAGCAAAGAGAGCTTTACCTGACAATCAGAGATAGCCATCGGATAATAGTGCTTAAAAATCAATTTGCTGATGCCTTATCCCTGAAATCGTGTTCTGTTCTCTGGCTAATTTTTATGTGTTTCAGCGGAGTGATATTAACAGTCCAAGATCCCAGAGATTGCCTTCGCTGTTCCATTATCCAAGCAAGCAGAACACCTTTTCTGTATTCCACCTCCTTATTTAATGTATCCAACTTCCAATTTGATGTTTCGCTGAGTGAGATTTATCTATGTGTTCTCTGTTTATAAAAGGATGATGATTAAAAGATTGAAATGAGTACCAGGTGTAATATAAAATATACTTGAATCAGTGATGCTTGCAGCGGCATGAAGTTAAAATGAAGAGAAGGTACCAACCTCATAAGATATCTAATTTGTTTACTTGGCAAGGCCTAGAGCAGGTTGTACAGGCTGGGTTTGTACAGTGGCTATGTACATTACTTTTTTGCCCAAAATAGAACCTCCTCTCTTTTCTGCTTCCTATTTTTTATTTAATCATCAAAGAGATTATAAAATATTCGTTAAAAATACCAATATAATTGTATGTTAAAAACAAGCTGACCTAAAAAATATTCAGTCTATAAGTAAAACCAGCAGTTCAGTAAATAAAAATTGCATGTTAAAATTACATGTATTGACATTTATTTATGTAATAGGATTTGTAGGCTATAGTACTTAATACTGCTTAGCTGAAACACTGGTCAGGGCTATGGCAATCTCCTGGCTTGGCTGCCCAATGCTTGTGGAATATCATTCATTATTTTTCACACGTGGCACACCCTTTGTCCGTTTGAAGCTGTTCACCCACACCCTGCCACGCCCTTCTCACATCACAACATAAACTTGCCCACAATTGGGCAGAGCCACTGTGCCACCTTTCCACCAGGTGGGTCACCATTGCTTTCTTTGTGGAGGAGGTTGGCATGGTGCAAGCACACCAGCAGGAGCACAGAATTGGCTCCACCAATGCATTTATACCACATTGACTTCCCCACTCCCTTGCACCTTCCATTCTCTCAGGAAGCAGCCTTGACTCACCTGCCAGGAAGCTAGCATGGCAGCTTCATCTCACCTGGCAAGCTGCTTCTCTCTGGATTTTGGAGTCACACAGGGCACCATTGAAAGTTTAGACACCAAGGAGGTCCTCCCTGGTGCTGAATTCTGCATAGCAGTTGTGGATTCCAAAAGCAGCTGGTCAAAGCATTGTCGGCAATTCTTTAATTCTACTAAGTCAGGGACAGTCTTTGGGGGTTTCCTCCGGATGTTGTTGGACTACAGCTTTCAACCCTTGCATTTGGGCTGCCTAACAACTTTCCGGGAGGGGGTGATACCGCATTGGTTGCAGAGGCAGATTTAGGGTAGCGCAACCAGTTTGCTCACACTGGGTGCCAAACTGAGAGGGTTGCACAGGGGGCACTGTAGCAATGATGAGCGATGGAAGGTGGGAAGTGTTGGGACGCCAAATTTGGAGTTGCACAGGTGTCGCCGAAATGTTAAAGCCCAAAGTCTGCCACTGATGGTTACCCCTTTGTTTTGTATTACAGTTTTGTAATCCCAGCACAGACGTAGCTTGCCTCTTTGAAATACGTGTTCATGTAGATATACCCATTTATGATGCATGTTGTACATGACATCCCCCTTCCCCAAAAGTGCCACCCGAAAAGGGATATTTCTAATGAATCCAAATGTTCAAACAGTTCAGTTTTATAATTAAAGATGCTATGGACCTCGGGAAATTGCGACCAGCTAGATGTGACCTGTTTAACTTGTGTCTTTACTCAATATCTGATTACAGAAACAAGCCTGCTTTACAGTTGTGCGCGGGCAGGTGGGAATTCAGCCGCAGGTAGAGGAATGAAAAACTGGCCTGGCAGGTTGTCTTCAGAATACCTTAGAAAGACAGCCCATCCCCCACCTGTCTCCCCTCTCCATTATTGATGGGCACTTTGCTGAGACATGCAAACTGACAGATATGATCCTCCTGCAGGCTTTACTGGAAGGTGGAAGGTTCAGCATTTCTTCCCTAGCAGGGTTTTCTTCAATTTAAGCAGATTATGGTGTGAAAGATGGAATGAGAGATCAGAGTTGGCAGGAAGCTGTGATTTGAATAGGACCTTCAATTTCTTTGACAAGAGTAATGTTCTTATGAATGGAGATGGACCCCTGGTCTGTGATGATAGGTAGGAGGATTGCCTTTAGGAATGATAGGCATTTTGGACAATGAGCAAATTGATTCGCTAAAAGCAGGTGTGGCACACCTTCCTTGGAATTAGAGTCACCTAGCTGCAACTTCTGTTTAACATGCTGGTAAGGCAGTGTAGTGTCTTGTTGTTCATTCTCGTTGAAGAAAAAGGTCGACGTGGATATAAAGTGGGTAAAAATATTATAGGCTCTGGTTTTCTACTGGTCTTATATTTGATGCAAGCAGGACCAGTTTACAGGCTTTCTCTGCAGTGGGAAGCAATTTGGGCTTTCCCAGCAAGGACCACAATGAGTAAATAAAACTGTAGATTAAAAGTGTATGTGTTTTTCAGGTCTTTGCCTGCAAAGTATTAATTGCATCAGTTTTACCAGAATTACATGTACGTTTTTGTATTTCACATGGCTGTTCAGAAGGATTTAGTTTTAGTTATATCGAGACAGTAGCTGTAGGATATAGCAGTATAGCGATATTTTTATGAATGAATAAAAATAAATATGTAGTGCCTATGAGCGGTGAGAGACAGGGTCCCCCACCACCTCTGGGTCCCCCAGCTACTACTCCTTGATCCAACCCAGTGTGTTCAGACTGGATATTACTATTCTGTAGCGCCCTCGTGTATACAATTCATATTTGAATGTGACATTAGATGACAGAGTTAGAAGGAACTTCAAAGGTAATCTAGCGAAAAGGTCATCTAGCAGCTGGTGCAGGAACCTCACTGCTAAAAAAAAGCCCCTGTCATCCAGTTCTTGGGCATCATGTGACTGGGGGGGTGCATGCCAGGAAAGTGAGCTGGTTGGAGCTATGCTAGATGTTGTACCATCTACATAGGGCTATAGTGGTGTTCTGCATTCTCTTCATAGCACCCTTGCAGGTGCCAGTGGTGTACAGAAGTGGAAGCACATATGGAAGGAGCAGCAAATGGACATTTTAGCTTTGTACACACACACACACACACCCTTTCTCTAGCTCCGGGTCTCCCAAACTTGGGTCTCCAGCTGTTTTTGGACTAAAACTCCCATTATCCCTAACTAGCAGGACCTGTAGTCTTTTTGTCTACAGAAAATCTGATGGTGTTTCCTGCTTGGCAGGGGGTTGGACTCGATGGCCCTTGTGGTCTCTTCCAACTCTATGATTCTATGATTCTATGATTCTATGTCTGTGCATGTCTCCTCCATGCACACTGCACCAGACTCCAGTTGGTTGTTATCAGTTTCATGTAAACAAGCAAAGTAGATCCTCATGCCTGTACACCTGGCATTGATTTAAAAGCAAGAGCACAGGAACAAAACATTTGATGGTGTCTTCGCCTGGCTGCCTCGCTGTCCTAATGTTCTCTCATCATAGAATCATTGAGTTGGAAGGGACTATGAGGGTCATCTGGTCCAACCATCTGCAGTGCATGACTCTTTCACCCAACATGAGGCTTGAACCCACAACCCTGAGAGTAAGAGTCTCATGCTCCACCAGCTGAGCTATCCATCAGAATGTTGCCCTGGCGCAAGAGGTTTTCAACCTTTTTGAGTCCATGGCTCCCTTGACGAACTACATTCAGTTTGCAGCACCCCTGGGGGGATGGGTTCATCCCCCATGTCACCCCATGCCTGCTTGCTTGCGTACTCCGAGGCACCCCAGGACCAGCCCCAGAGGCTCCATTCTCCTGGAGAGCTTGTAGCCAGGGCTGCTGCAACAAACAGCTGTGCAAGCCTTTGGGAGGCAGAGATGTGAGAGGACATCAGAGGAAAGGAGGGAAGGAAAGAAAGAGGGACAGAGGCCAGTGTTGCCCGTGGCACCGCGACCAAATTCCTATCCTACAGGTGTGGCAAGGAACATCATCTGAACAAGAAGCAGAAATGTCACAGTTTCTTTGCCTGCCTCCTTCTTTTTCCTATTTCTGCACACTGACCTATAAAGGAAACTGTGTTCGCAGCCTATTTCTGATTCACAGAGCATCTTGCAATGTCTTAAGTCTGAGACTTGCGGGCTTTTCATTCCAGTTCTGTGGTGTGCGTGGTTTTTTTCTTATATTAGTCTAAGAACTGAGGGTTGTAGACGCCGCAATGTATTTTTTTGGGATAAGAAGAAAAGGGTGTCCCCCCTGCAAGCCCTGGAATTCTGGAAGCTGTTACAAAAGCCTGGGAGTAAAGCTGTTCTTTTGTTTCAAAAATAAATAAATGTGAAAACTAACCTCTTTGTGTAACAGAATACAGGCAAGTGCTTCCCATCATAAGGGTGAGAAGCTAGGGAAGGAAGTGATTTATGGCAAGAAACAGGACATAAGATCAGTACAAATTCAAACCAGGTCATGGCTTCACCACTGATTGAGCTTGAGATTATATAATCACAGTGATAAGATAGTGACAAGTATTCCAACAAGACTCTATTTATCTGGGTTTCTTTGAAGGGAGTGATGAGTTTAGCTAATAAAGCATCAGTTTCTAGCGTAGGTGAATCCTGAAAAGTAGCAGAAAGGTGTAGCTATAAAGTCAGTCATTGTTGACAAAACTCTCTCTGCTTCAAGCAACTGGATAATTTTTAGCTGCCATGTTATTCAGATACGGTTTTTTTCTTTGCTGTCCTATGCAGGTTGAGGGCTGAGGGAAGGAATAATTAATTACCTGTCAGGTTGTTGTTTTTTGCTGTATCCAATGGAGTTGGGCATACGTAGCATACATTCCTCACCAATGTGGTTTTCAAAACAAAGTTCTGAAGTTTTTAAAACAGGCAGAACCTCCTTTGCCATCACAAACACAAAATGAGTTGATGTAGCAGAATTTGGACTGTGCAGTTCAAGCAATTGGGTGTCTGGGACAATCAGGATGATGGCAGTTTTTCTCCACTGCACTGGAAAATGAAATAAATATTGTACAAAACTCTGTCCACTGTTTCCAGATGCCCATGAAGTGTGGTCCCCCCCCCCCTTTTCATGGTATTTAATATAACTGAAAGAACTATAGTTTTCTCTAAATAAGCATTTCCATATTTTTCTCTTATACATATTGGTGCTGCTTTGGAAACAATATTGTAAATAAATACAACTCCTCCATTGTTGCTATGATGCTCAAACAATTTCCTAACCAATAAGGTTAGCTATTATTTGAGGTGATCAATGCATTTAAGTAAACTCTTACCTGTTTTAGAGATGCCTGTTCAATGCAATAAATATGTCCTTGTGTATTATAAATCGGTAACTGTGTAAAGATTGTCATGGTGGCATTGCTATTTGAGACAAAAGTAGTATTTGGAAAGGAATGGTACTTGACAATATATGGGATCTTGCCTTTCAGACTTACATTTAAAAGTCTTGTGTATTGACTATTTTTCAGCTCTGATGCAGCAAGGTTTTTATAACTCAGTTTTTTTGAGGGGAAGAGGTCAGAGATGAATATGAAGGGTGGATTTCAGTGGGTTTAAGCGTGTTTAACTGTTGAATTGTGGCCCGGTGTTCGCTTCAGGAGACAGCCGAAAATCTGATTACATTTGATTTATGCCTGAACAAGATAAAAACAGAGTGCAAACTCTTGGCGGGTGGATATGGGTGTGCTTGAGCATGCAAGCACGAGCACGTGCATGTATCTATGTGGGGGTGGGGGGATTGCTTCTTTTATTTATACGACCCCTATGCTGCAGAGAGCAATCCTCCCAGTCTATAAAGTGTGCCATGTTGGGCACCAATATCAGCAAACCTTCTTTTACAGTGCACAGACGCAATAACTTTCCATCAAAAAAATTATCTTGCTTGCTCGGCTGCAGTGTCAGTTATTTAAGCCCCCCAGGCTCTCCTGTGAATATTGCAGGTGGGTTGCCAGCGTACAGGAGTGTAATAGAAGCTCAGGTGGGAGAAGTTTATCTGCTTGCGTACGTGCTGCTGGGTCATATTCTTGCATTTCAGTGTTATGCCTTACTTTTGAAGGGGAGAAAGATTTTTTCTGGACAGCGAGCCAAGCTACGTGCCCCAGTCCCTCAACGTATATTAGTAAAATAAATCTAAACTGAATGAGCATGCCAAGTATAAAGGGCTGGTGGGCTGAAACTTAACTTTGCAGGAGTTAGAGAAGTCCTTCTAAAGCAGAGGGGCAAGGGAACCTCCAGGCCCTTCATTCTGCCCCCTTCCTTGTTTCTCAAGTGCCTTTCCCTAGGCTTCACCACCCGCTTCAAGTGCCTTGAAGTGTGACTATGCTTCTTGCATGCCTGCCCATATGCAGGATTGGAGAGAGGTGTGTGAAGGAAGCTCTGGTTTTTATGTGGTTGGAATAGCGTACAAAGCTGAGTCACTGCTGCTTACTAGGAGGGAGCAGGGAGGCAACAAGGAGGTCAGCACAGTGTAGACGCACCAGCAAGAGTGCCAGATTGGCTCCACCAATGTGTTTGCAGAGCACCAAACTCCTTGCCATAACCCCGCTCCTTCCTAGTAAGCAGCAACAGCTCAACTGTTTGGGACATCTGATGAGCGTTGTCCAGCCACACTGTCCACTACTGGCTATTCCTTATGCCAACTCTCAGTTTCCACCCCCCGGAATGTACAAGTGCCAGGAACAGGCGGTGCCTGGAGAGAGCAGCTTGCCTAGGGCAGTAGAGCGAGTTCAAATTTGAGCTGGGTCATTTTCATTCACAGCTTAATCTTTTAACCAGAGCTCCATTCTAGCCCTCTAGGCTTTGAGTTCATGTCTCTTGTGGGGAGTATTTGCTAGTGCATAAGACTCATACAGACACACAGTGTGTGAGATAGAGAACCTAGCAATGGAAACATTGGTATTTAAGTAAAGGAAAAGTGTGAGTCCCAAGTATTACTCAGCTGATAACAATTACCTGCGTGCCAGGTGGGATTCACATTCTTATGTGCGTGTGGCACTTAGGTCAGGGGGAAAAATGGTGCTTAAATATTTTCACAGTTGCCTACTGTTTTATCTCGAGCAAGTTAATTACTGCCTGACACCATACAAAAGGTGCTGTATAATAGCAGCTCTGCCTAATTGTAATAGAATATTTTGCATTGCTAGGAAAGATCTGAAGATCACAAACATTATTAATGAGCTCCTTCTGACACAGGCAGGTGTGTTCTCATTCATTTTGGGTTCACATACCCCAAATCCCATAAATTTGGAAGCACGCTTTCTTTATTAGTTCATCTTTTCCAGGTTTGAACTCTAGCAGTGAAAACAGATTCCACAATATGCATTGCCCCTGGAGGTGGTGGTTATTTGCATTAGGTGGTTGTTTTGTTTGTGGTGGTACTGTTACCACCACAAACAAACATATACATCAAAGTGCTGTTCCAAACAAACAAAGTTGCACTCTGGATACTCAGTTTTCTTCTTTCACTGCAGCATCACAGTCCATTTTTGTGCTGACAATTTGCTACTGAGTAGTTAGAATATTTATGAACATTCACAACATGACAAGCAGACCATCTAACAGGGAAGTTGCCATTATTATTGTTGTTGTTGTTGATATTTAAATGGAAAAGCAGCCTACAAATTTAACAGTAAGTACATTTACATAATAATAATGGCAACTTCCCCTGTTAGATGGTTTGCTTGTAAACCAAACAATACATAACATAACATAACATAACATAACATAACATAACATAACATAACATAACAACATAACATCATAACATCACATTATTTTAAAGACTAAAATAGTTGCTTAATTAGAAATAAAATCCATATCTCAAGTACTCTCTCAAAACCTGGAGGATTGAGGACCAAAAAAATTAACCAACTGCCTAAAAATGCCATTGAAGCAGATCAGTAATGCTGTTCCAGACTATCAGAGATCAAAAAACTACCACCCAGGTTTCTGTGATATCAGAGTGTTCACACAGCAGCCCTGAATTTGGTGGTATAATGCTGATATTAGTTTGTGTTCTGATGAGAAGAATTCTGGAACAGTCTTTGTTAAGGTAGAAGAGGAAACTGTTCTAAAAAGGAGTTGAATAAATATTTGATTGGTCAACTAGGATAAACTTTAGTGCTTCCTAGATAAACTTGTTCTTTTCAAGGTGTCAGAAGTGGCTATGGGCAGATTTGACATAAAAGGGCTCAAGTTACAGTATACTATGTGGATCATGGTAGGAGATTGCAGGACTTGTTGAAGGCTATGTGTTGGAATTGTGAATTCAAGTGAAGGCTTTTTGAAGAGGTCATCTGAGGAAGAAGTTGGAAAATTGCCAGATTTAAGAACTCAGAGAACTCTATATCACTTGTAGGATTCTGCAAGCAGTTGAACTAAGGACTTGGCTGTGGACTTTAAACACAGCAATGACTTTGAAGCAAATAATCCTCTCTGGGTTCAGAGAGGGAAGACCACTTGCAACATATGTAAAGTGTGTGTATCTGTACGTGTTGGTGTTGTCCTAGTAAAGACAGCTCTGCTAAACAGCTGTTTTCTCTGGTGAGCTTAACTGCTTGACTGAGTTTCCACAGCGCATACTAAAAGATTCAATCCGCCTCTCTTTTTTCATTTTCTATCTGTCTTTGATTTCTTGAGAAAATATTGCAGCTGCCTTTTCAGAGGCTGAAGGTAAAGCTTGTTTTCTTTAATTATATGATTGAAAATCATATGAAACCACCAGTCTGTTGCTTATTATTTGTATTTTGATGTGCTGTAATCATTTGCTTGGTACCTCATTGCACATCACCTAGAACTTTATATCACATAAGGCAACTGATAAATATAAACAACAATAGCAACAACGTTTTTAAAATTGATTTGAATCTTTCTTCTAGAATGACATTCTCCTGTGACTGTTTTCATAGTATTGTATGTGGAATGCATTTCTGGAATAAGGACTATATATAATGCCTTACCTAGACCAGCTTTAATGATTGTAAGAGAAACAGTATTACACTGTGGCTTGATTTGCACATCATTGGAAGGTAGAATATGAAAGAAGCCTTGGCTGCAGGTCGTGGTTAAGGACCACTTAATCACTATCTTGGGTTCAAATGACACACTAAGTCAAACCTTGGCTTAGCTGCCATGCTGTATGGAGCTAAAGTACTGGACGGCACAATGCAGGTGATATTTCCTCCCTGGGAGCTAGCACATTTGCTTCAAGCGATAGTTTGGCTTAGTGTTACATGTGAATGTTGCCTGTGTTGGAAGAGGAGTTGCTGTTCATTTTCTGCTCCTGGTGGTTCGTTCAACTTTCCCTGGAAACAGCCACTGGGAATAAATGCTGAGGGTAACAAAGACGCTGTTGCAGAATACAGTGGTACCTCGGGTTAAGTACTTACCGTATTTTTCGCTCTATAACACGCACCCGACCATAACACGCACGTAGTTTTTAGAGGAGGAAAATCCGTAGGCATGCCACCCGTAGGCATTCCCTCCATAACACGCACAGACATTTCCCCTTACTTTCTAGGAGGAAAAAAGTGAGTGTTATGGTGCAAAAAATACGGTAATTCGTTCTGGAGGTCCGTTCTTAACCTGGAACTGTTCTTAACCTGAAGTACCACTTTAGCTAATGGGGCCTCCTGCTGCTGCTGCTGCGCCGCCGGAGCATGATTTCTGTTCTCATCCTGAAGCAAAGTTCTTAACCTGAAGCACTATTTCTGGAATAGCAGAGTCTGTAACCAGAAGCGTGTGTAACCTGAAGTGTATGTAACCCGAGGTACCACTGCATCTTGATGTCCTTTCATATTTTAAGCAATATTAATGTAGCCTACTTGGGGGGGCCACCTAGCTCCCATTTTTGATGAAAGTGAAAGGGGGGTTGACAGATACATCAGTGTCCTGCACAGAAGTAGCCCATTGGAGAGGAATCCCTGGTGCTGCAAAGTTTCATATCAAAGCCGAACCATTGCATTGATGGCGGATTCCTAATTTCTCTCTCCTGGTTGTTAGAACCAGCGTTGATCTTTCCAAGCGATCCCTTGCTAGTGTCTCGTGTGTTTTGTTAGGAGTGCTCCCTCCCCGCTCCCCAAATTCTGTCAGTGATAAACTAATTACACGCCATACATTTTTAATGCTTTAATCTCCCATCATTTTCCTAGAGAGGAGTAATCCCCTTTCCAAACAAATGCCATGCATGGCCAGGCACTCATTGTGAAATGTATGGTTTTCATTAAGCCCCCATTGTTAATAAGAAACTTAATGGATGTTTCAGATAGAAATGGAAGGGCAGGCAAGGCAGTGCAAGCAGCATGCTGAATGATTGCAGCAATAATACTGCACTACCAATACAGTGCCAGTAGCAACATTTCACCAGTATTATGTGTCTGTTCGTTCATCTTAGAGTTGGAAGGGTCATCTAGCCCAACCCCCTGCAATGCAGGAATCCCAGCTAAAGCATCCATGACAGATGGCCATCCACCCTCTGCTTAAACACCTCCAAGGAGGGAGAGCCCACCACCTCTCATGGGAGTCTGTTCCACTGCCAAACAGCTCTTACTGACAGAATGATTTTCCTGGTGTTTAGTCGGAATCTTCTTTCTTGTAACTTGAAGCCATTGGTTCGAGTCCTACCCACCATATCAGAAGAAAGCAAGCATGCTCCCTCCTCCATGTGACAGCCCTTAAGATATTTGAAGATGGCCTCATGACTGCAGTTGGTGGGGCCAGAGAAGTGACACAAACTCGTGCACTCACTCACTTTTTTTCTCTTACAGACAAATCCCTAACCCTCCCCTCCACACACACACACACACACACACACACACACAAACCCACCACATACCCTCTTTCTGTCTTCCCAACCACAGGACACAGGTTTTATTTTATACTTTAAAATTGTTATGGGTTGTATCTAGCCTTAGTCATTTTTCACAGTAGACCCATTGAAATGAATAGACCGGACTCACTTAGGTCCCTCAACTGAGCAACGGTTAGTTGGCTACAACCCTAGGCAGTTTGTTTTAAACGAATATTTTAGTTTTGTCTTTCGCGAACTGCTTAGAGGCCTTTCGCTTTAGTCGTTAAATAAACACACAAAAATAAAATAAGGCAGAGTAAAAGGGTGACTTGCACCCTGCTTCTTAGCTCCAGCCATGCATGCTGTCTGTCGCCTTTCCTCCACTCCTGGCCAGGCCCTCATTCCCAAGCCAACTGTTCCAGCTGAGGAGGCCTCCCTCAAGGGAACCAGACACCTAGGGCAGCAGACTGCTAGGTGGAGTTCCTCTTTCCCATGCCATTCCCTTCCTTCCTTAGCCTTCCATCCCTGCCCTTTCATGGACAATGTCCCCACATGAAAAGTCTTTGGTGAGGTGAACATACCAAAATACCATATTTTTCAGTGTATAACACGCCCCCACGTTTAAGGAAATGGGGGGGGGGATTGCTCAGAGTTGTTGAGCTTTTTTTTTTGGGATAGGGGATTGATCACTCACCTGCCTCAACAAAGCCACCAATCATCTGACTGCTCACCACCAGCAGCCACCAATCACATGCCCAATCTCCTGCTCACAGCTGCCAACAATCACCTGTCCCCCCCTTCTGCACTGTCCGTGTATAAGACGACTACCAATTTTGAACATGTTATTAAAATAAAAAACCCATTGTGTTATACACAGAGAAATACGGTATATGGAAATATGTCCTTAGTACGGAAGTGAACCACTCGGTGAAAGGATAAAGCATAAGTGGCCATGGAAGGAAGCACAGTATAAAGATACTGTTTTTCAGTATACCTGATATTTACAGTAACTTCTTCTGCTCTACTTAGAAGGAGAGGGATAAAAGGGCACAGTACCTTGGGAGATGAAAGCCAATCAGAAAGGCCGCTTGTTAAACTCAGTGAAAAATGAACTCTGAAAAAGGCAGGTGTGGTGATCCTTTGAGGACATTTTGGAATAATTGTACCAATAATGCATTAAAATGTCACCAGGGGAACTGATTAATTGGTGTTGCCTTCATTTTTCTCTTCCATTTGCTTGCATTCTTGTCCTGACGGCTTCCTAATAAAAAATAAAAATAGCGATGTTTGGCCCCACCACTTATATATGAAGTCTTTTATTACTGCAGAATGACATATGTGAAACCTTGCAACTGACATTCATAGACTTAAATGCCTACTCCTTCAATTGCTTTATTAATGCATTGGCTTTCAGTGTAAAAACAAACGCACTGAAACCCTTGAAAAATTCCGATTATGGCTGTGACATTTATCATTTTATAATAGAAGCATTAGTAGCTTCTGGACTGAATGTTGGCTCACACATTTTCTGCAATAGAAATCTCAACTTTCATTTATTAGCTTAATGTTAACTGCAGGTCTGTTTTCACAAGAAAAGCATGCCTCACTTTTCCATCATATAAAATTGATGCCACCTTAACGAAGGTGGCTGAACATGGGGCACACTGCCTTGCTGCCCAATGACGTCATATGTTACAGCTTGTAATTATTTTCCATAAATGACAGTGACTGAGGTCTGCCTTTCCATTGGCCAGAGGGCCCTCAAGTAGTTAATTTTCAGTGACATGAAAGGGAAGCAAATGGTTCACTGTTTAATTTATTGTGGTGGTATTTTGACCAATGGGGGAAGATGCTTGTGAGATTTTCTGTCCCAAGTGGCAAAGGGCCTTGGGCACTATGTACATTGACTTGGAGGTGGGGTGGGGAACCCAGTTTGCTGCTCTGCCTTGGGCAACAAAATGATTTGGAGCAGTTCTTCCAGTGATGGTGGGCTGCTTCTCACAGCTGGCTTGCTTCTTTTGTGTATTCTTAGGATGCTTGTAGGGACATGGGTGGCACTGTGGGTTAAACCACAGAGCCTAGGACTTGCCGACCAGAAGGTCGGCGGTTCGAATCCCCGCGATGGGGTGAGCTCCCGTTGCTCGGTCCCTGCTCCTGCCAACCTAGCAGTTCGAAAGCACGTCAAAGTGCCAGTAGATAAATAGGTACCGCTCCGGCAGGAAGTTAAACGGCGTTTCTGTGCGCTGCTCTGGTTCGCCAGAAACAGCTTAGTCAGGCTGGCCCCATGACCCGGAAGCTGTACGCCGCTCCCTCGGCCAATAAATCGAGATGAGCGCCGCAACCCCAGAATCGGCCATGACTGGACCTAACGGTCAGGGGTCCCTTTACCTTTAACTGGGATGCTTGTACAGAAGCAGGAGAAATGTTTGCATCTATGTAATTGTGTGAATAGTCAGTTGCATATCTGGTGGGAACAAAGGCCCACCCAGAAAGTAATTGAGTATGAAAGCAGGCAGGTCACCAAGCCATTCAGCAAGTGAACAAACGGGTTGGGCAGTTTTGAGCAAAGCTTGGCCTAAGGAATCAGGCCATAGTCTGAAGCTTCATAGGAGGACCAAGTGGAACCCTATTAGCTTATTGACTCTTCTGCAGAGATGGTAGCCATTGGTAACACTCTCTGGCCTTCTGCAGCCGATGATGATCATGGATGACCTCCAACATTTCTCCAATGAAAATAGGGATGTCAATAATAATAATACCCTATCCATCTGACTGGGTTCCCCCACCCACTCTGGGTGGTTTCCACCATATATAAAAACATAATAAAACATTGTACATTAAAAAAACTTCCCCATACAGGGCTGTCTTCAGATGTCTTCTAAAGGTTGTATAGTTACTTATCCCCTTGGCTCAGGGGATCTCATAACTCCATACCCTCCAAAATTTCTCCAATGAAAATAGGGAAATCTTAAGGAAAAGCAGGAGGTTCTGGGATCAAATCAGAAACCACAACAGCTTCTGTAAATCTGGGATGGTATAGGGGCACTTGGAGGGCCTGAAATCATACAAAAATGGAAGGCCAACTTTATATCTTCATATGTTTACTTCACTGGTAAAATTAGCCTTCAGGAAGTGGAAGGCCTGTGGCAAGTTAACTCAGGTTTGATTTTCCTATGTGAATTTTGCTAGCACTGAAACTAATGGGGCAAGTTAGTCATAGCGAATTTTAGTCCCATTGATTCCTGTTAACATAGTCTGGGTCTAAAACTATGGCCTGGTTCTCATGGTGCAGTAGGCTGGACTGTGGTTCACTGAGACAGCACAAATGGGCCTGGCTCCCAGAGAGGAGCTCACAGCCAGTTTGCTCCTCCCTGCCCCTTTTTCCCCCTCTGTGCTTTGTCGAGCTAAGCCAAGGTTTGGCTTAGAGTGTTGTCGGACCCCAGGCTCGTGGTTGAGCTCTCCTCATTAATCACGAGCAGTAGCCAAGAACCTTCTAGGTCGGACGTGCAGTGCATAATAAGTTTTAAAACCTACCTTTAAGTTTTCAGAAGGGAAATGCTTGTGACATCTCTGAATCATGGCCTCTGGGTATGGCACTTCTCTACTCTATCAGAAAACCTAGGAATGATAGAAATACCACCAAGAAGGCATGGTAGAAATAAGTAATCTGCTTGTTGCTTTGGGATGCATTTTTACTCATTTTACTTTGTCATTCACTTGATTCACTGAACTGATTCCATTATAATGGTTCACTTATGTATGCAACTACCTGGGAAAAATAAAGATAAAAATCCCCCTAAAGCATTTTATTGAGTTCTTGGTCCAGAAACAGGATAATAAATAAGCAGAAGCCCAAATGCAACTGTGTGATTGAAGAAGAAGGAAAGAAAAACTGTGGACTGAAGGGAAGGCAAGGAACATCACCAGCAAAATGGAAGGTCAAAAATAGCACCTGCGATCAAAGATCCAATTCAGTGTGTTTTGTCTTGTGTGTTATACAGGAGACAGTGTTTCTACCTGTCTTTATTATTATTCTTTAGTCTGTTGGGTTTTTTTTTCAAGAAGCAATTTTGTGAATGAATAGTTTTGGAAGTGCAAGTAATTTCATCTACCTTTTGCCAAACAAACAGGCAATGTTAGCCGCAGGGAAAATTACATAGCCTAAGAATATTGCACAATAAATATGTTGTGTCACATAGACACCATCTGTAAATTATTCTGATAGACAGAACAGCTTGCCTGCCAAATTCTGAAACATGGTTTTGCATAGTACAGAAGTGTGGTAAAATAGCTCAGGGGGATTCTGGATCAGGTTGCATGAATTAAATGTTGACCTTGAACTTGCGTACATCACCTGCAAGACTGAACAGAGTGTGCTTTGCCTTTCAGGTGGCAATTGGTAGACTGTTAACTCTTTGTTTTATTTTGTGGACACATTTTAAAATGTTTAAAAAAATCAAGCATAGAAATATATAGCTCAGATATTTCAGTTGTGAGGCTGTGCCAGTACACTTCAGTATATTAAATATTCTACGGGGTAAGGATAGCTAAAAGTGATAAGAGAGAGCATTGGCAATGGAGCTGAAGACATTTAGCACTCTAAAGAAATGTCTGACATCTCTTTGTGTCACTCTCCTGTGAAACAGATGATCAATCAAGGCATGCTATTTTTTCTCATGCTGTGCTTTTTGCACCTTTAAGTGTATACTGATTTATTTAGACTCACTGAGTATTTGCATTTAGGAATTTCTTCCAGTCTTGACTCCGGTACTGCTATGTACTTTATAGATGAATCTTTGTACTTTATAGATGAATCTTTGGTACCCCATTTCAGTAACATGGAAAGGCCACTAATTTAAAAGATTCTGATTTGTTTGGTCTAGTCTTTGATAAAAGCATGGAGTTTGCTCTCTCATGATCCAAATGCGGTCATAGCTTTCTCTCCAGATGATTTGGTGAACATGATTGGCCATTGCTGCAACCTCGACGTTCTGTTGCACCAGCAGGGTTGGCTCTGTCATTTCCAGATGACAGGACTGGATAATTAAGGAAAATTCATTTCCATACATGACAGTATAGCCCCAGAGATCAAGCTGTAAGTGATTGACAGCTACCATGGGGCAAAATCACTAATTAAGAAGCTTGACCAGTTGAAGACAGTGTTGATGGGTGTCATTTGGCATGTCACGCTCCAATACTGTAAATAAAGATCTAGAGGAGGCTGGAACTGAGTTGTGTGCTCTGTCATTAATTTGTATAATGGTGTTTTATCACACTTTAGTAGCACCTGGAATAAATTTCATGTGTTGGAGGCCATGGCAAAATACATACACCATCCAATTACACCAGATATCTTCAGCCTTTTCAAATCCAGGACCCACATTTAACCCAAACATGGTGGGAGTGCTGCTGTTTTGGCTCATCTTGGATCAGGCCCTGACCCGCTAATGGGTCCTGATCTGCCAGTGGGAGCTGCACAACATAAACAACTGAGAAACCCCACTCTCTTTTAAAATGAAGTTGGCATGGATAACCCTGTCTTGGATTTGAGTGCCAGTGGATTAATCTGTCATAGAGATGGGCAGACAGGAAGCAGCTTGCACGGAAGGAAAGGCTCTGTCTTCTTGTGGATAGGCCCATGCCCAGTGATTAAGTGACCCCTAGAGTAAGGGCAGTAATATATACCTATCCACAGGGTTGTTTTTCAGCCAGAACTCACCAGAACTCAATTCTGGCACCTCTCAGGTGGATGCCATTGCCCTTATAAGAGAACAAGGGAGGCATTCATGGTGGGTTCCAGCACCTCTTTTTCCAGAAAAATAGCACTGCCTCTCCATCAGCTTTCAAACATGCTTTCATGTTATTCTAACATGTATATATGCAGATAGCAAATCTATGGCCAAAATGATCATTACCCAAATAATGATCAAGTTGGTGACATGCTTTCCAAATGTCAGCATTGCTTTTTGAATGTTATCTTGCCATTTTTGAAACAAATGGTAAAGAGGAGCACTTTCTTTCATACTTGAAACACAGAAAGAACTATCTTAGGTTAACCATGGTACAGAAATGGCTGTATTCATTTGCACTACTCTCGACTGAGAATGAGTGCTTTTGAAATAGTTTAAGATATATTCCCAGTAGCATAAAAATACCATCATGCATTATGTAAAGACATTACGTGTTGTGTATATAAATAACTTCACCCTTTATCCTTTGCTGCCTCTTATCCCTGGAATTGCCTCCCAAAACATCTGTTTGAGGCCACCTCTCTTACTTATTTTCAAATCCATCCCCAAAGCCCATTTTTCAAGCATTATTTTCTTTTTAAAAGGGCTATCTTTGAAACAACCACAAAGTCCCCATCCCTGTGCTGTTTTCATGGGACTGTTTTAGTGCATATTTTAAATATTGATGTTTATATTTTCATGTTTTAATCAGGTTGTTTTAGTGTGTGTTTTAATCATTATGTGCTATAATCATGTTTATAGTTTAAAGTATGTGTCATTAGTTTTTGTACTTGTAAACTGCTTAGAAGCCTATTTTGGAATTGTTGTTGTTGTTTAGTCGTTTAGTCATGTCCAACTCTTTGTGACCCCATGGACCAGAGCATGCCAGGCACTCCTGCCTCCCGCAGTTTGGTCAAACTCATGCTGCTAGCTTTAAGAACACTGTCCAACCATCTCATCCTCTGTTGTCCCATTCTCCTTGTGCTCTCAGTCTTTCCCAGCATCAGGGTCCTTTCCAGGGAATCTTCCCTTCTCATGAGGTGGCCAAAGTATTGGAGCCTCAGCTTCAGGATCTGTCCTTCCAGTGAGCACTTGGGGCTGATTTCCCTCAGAATGGATAGGTTTGATCTTCTTGCAGTCTCCTCCTCAAGAGTCTCCTCCAGCATCATAATTCAAAAGCATCAGTTCTTCGGCGATCAGCCTTCTTTATGGTCCAGCTCTCACTTCCATACATCACTACTGAGAAAACCATAGCTTTAACTATATGGACCTTTGTCGGCAAGCTGATGTCTCTGCCTTTTAAGATGCTATCTAGGTTAGTTTTTGGAATTAAGCAATGTATTAATTATATCTACTGTAGCTAATGGTTGAATTTGTGTAACTGAAATTACGTGTGTTCTCCCCCTGTTTCAATCCTACTTACAACTGTTGCTTTTGTCTCCTCTGTCCTAATTTCTACACTGCAAAATCTGTCCTCTTTTGCTATGTAAAATTCATGGTGATGTGTACATTGAAATATACAAAGAGAAAGCTGATTTCTAAAATCTCACACCTAGTCAGTGGCAGCTGAACGAACAACAGCAACAACAACAACCAAAAACAACATATGGTATTGGTTTTTCAACATAGGGGATAGCTTACAAATTCACACAGTAATCATATACTGTACATGCCTACGCAGGAATAGTGAGACTTACTCCTACTTACACTGGTATAGGGTTCTATACATAGGATTATTAGACTTTAATCTCCTGTTTTCTCAAAGTGATTTATCAGTTGCTGTCCCTTTAGTCAACATAAAGCGCTCCTTGACACCCAGATGAACCACTGATAATGCTTGCATGAGTCCTGGTGCATCTTTGAAGAATCACTGTGGATAACATTTGATTGATTCAGAGTGAGGTTAGATAGCACATTCTTATCTCCATTACTTCTACTATTGACGAGCATCCAGAAATCATGCTAGTGAAAGGAAACTGTTAAAAATTGCCACTGGGCTCTTCAAAATATGGAAGATTTTCTGTGTCTGAAGAGAACTGTGGAAACAGATTAATGGAATACAGCTGTGGCTTTTCTATCACTGGAATGGGTGATAGCCAACTAAGTCATACTTACAAGTAGACCCTTTGATATTATGACCATCAGAAAACCAATACAGTACTGTGTTTAGTGTGATGAAAGATGCCTAATTTAGGTATCTAGATCATCCTTCCTAGATTAAGGTACATCTCTGAGGGTTTGTTGCTTGGCATGATTGATTTCAGTGGATCTGCTTTGATAAAAACTTAAATAACACCCTTTGTGTTTAAAGAAGCCTTTTAGACTAAAGTCTTGTGCACATTTACTAAGGAGTAAGCATCCCTGAAAGGGATGCGGATGGCGCTGTGGTCTAAACCACAGAGCCCAGGGCTTGCTGATCAGAAGGTCGGCGGTTCGAATCCCCGTGACAGGGTGAGCTCCCGTTGGTCGGTCCCTGCTCCTGCCAACCTAGCTGTTCAAAAGCATGTCAAAGTGCAAGTAGATAAATAGGTACCGCTCCGGCAGGAAGGTAAATGGAAAAGGTAAACGCCAGAAGCGACTTTGTCATGCTGGCCACATGACTTGGAAGCTGTACACTGGCTCCCTCGGCCAGTAAAGCAAGATGAGCTCTGCAACCCCAGAGTTGTCCACGACTGGACCTAACGGCCAGGGGTCCCTTTACTCTTTACCTTTAAGCATCACTGAACTTCATGAGACTTACTTCTGAATAAACATATTTAGGATTGTGCTACCCTCACAAATGTGTCCTTTATGTGTAAGGATACTTTAGAATCATAGGATCATAGGATTGTAGGGTTGGAAGGTATTCCAAGGGTCATTTAGTGAAACCCTTTGCAATGCAGGAGTCTCAGCTAAAGTTCTTCCTGATGTTTATTCAGAATCTCCTTTTAATTTGGTGTATCTGCCAGCAGACACGCCAGGTAAGATGCAGCATTCAGAGAAAAAATAGCTAAATGTTGGGACACACAAGGATTGTCTCCAGCGTATCATATTGTGTGGAGGGAAGCAGGTGGTAGAACTGAGAGGCACCGCCACCCACCCAGCAAAAACAATAAGTAAGAAAGCTAGAAGAAAATGGCACATAACAAGTCTTTCTTAAGTCAGCAAGATTGTTCACCATTTTGCTTATACTTACATTTGTGTAGGACATTAATTTGTGTGGGACGCGGGATGAGCTCCCGTTGCTTGGTCCCTGCTCCTGCCAACCTAGCAGTTCGAAAGCACATCAAAGTGCAAGTAGATAAATAGGTACTGCTCTGGCGGGAAGTTAAACGGCGCTTCTGTGTGCTGCTCTGGTTCGCCAGAAGCGGCTTAGTCATGCTGGCCACATGACCCAGAAGCTGTACGCCGGCTCCCTCGGCCAATACAGCAAGATGAGCGCCGCAACCCCAGAGTCGGTCACAACTGGACCTAATGGTCAGGGGTCCCTTTACCTTTACTTAGGACATTAAAACCTTGCCAGATTATTACTTCAGATACTTCTGTTCCCATTTCTATGCTATAAACCTAGTGTGCATGTGTGAAAGCATGTGTGTAGTTGTAATCATCACCATCATCATCTGTATCCCACACTGCCATTCCACTTCTGCCTACAAAATAGAACTTCTCCCTTATCCCCTGCAGCTGCACATCCCACTATGCCCCTTTGCCCTAGAGGGTTGGGGGAGCCTCCAAAACAGATTTTTGGGGTGTATGGGGAGAGGAGGAATATCCTGTAGTGTGAGTGGAACCCCATTTGTGCAGTGCTGGATAAAGCCCAATATTATCATCAGTGGGGGTACTCAAGGATACGCAGTACCTTTCCATTCCCCAATGTCAAAAGTGTGGCCCTTGCTGTAACAACTTCACGGTGAGTACCAGCACCTTTCCCCCTAAAAATTATTATTAATTCTATGGCGTTTTCAAAACAAAGTATGGTGCGGTACTTAAGATTAGGGACAGTCCTATATGCAGGCTTGCAGTTGAATAGACAAAGACAAATAGGGAAGGGATGCAGTTGGAGAGGAGCTGCTTCCAGTCACACGTTTGTCCATGCGCATGTTGTCTAGGCAAACGAATCTCCTTAGGTCCTGATTAATGCACATGTCCAAGAAGGAGTCATTTAGTAGGAAGAACTGTCTCTTTTGCAGCAGATGCTCCCATTTGAAAACATTGCATTCTACCCATCCTGCAGGAACAGACTATAACAAGAACTCTCATTAAGTGTGCAACTATATGTTGACAGTTGCCTAGTAGTAGTAGTAGTAGTAGTAGTAATAATAATAATAATAATAATAATAATAATAATATTTTATTTATACCCCGCCCTCCCCAGCCAAGACCGGGCTCAGGGCGGCTATTATTATTATTATTATTATTATTTATACCCCGCCCATCTGGCTGGGTTTCCCCAGCCACTCTGGGCGGCTTCCAACAAATAAAATACAGTAGTCTGTTAAACACAAGTTCCCCTTACTCCAGTGGGGCTTCCTCCTAGATTAGTGTGCATAGATTTATAACCTAAAGATGTGTTTGACTGGGTTTTTGGGAGCAGGGAGAACTATGGACTAATTCATACAGTATGTGGTTAGTTATGGGATTTCAGTGCCACCCTTCATTTAAAAAAAAAAAATATCCCAGGGCAGTTTACATAAAAACCCCAGTAAAAATGTAAAATGCATTCAGCATACAACACAAAACACAAATTCAAAAAGCAGACAAGGGGTGGGTGAGTTGCAAGATTTTAGGGTAGGATTTGTATAATCTGAGCCATACTAGATGTGACAGAGGCAGGTTGGATCTGCCCCAATCAAGCAGGAAATAGGAGGGGTATGTGGTCTGTTTTAAGAAATAAAAGAAACACATGCATCAGGATTGCAGTTTACCATCTTACAGCCCTCTTTCAAAGTATTCTGTTCCACGGAACACACTTCTGTTTTACAGCTTTTTTTATATCAGCATTTGTGGGAAAGTAATCTTTGGAGAAGTCTCTGCAGTTTTCAACCATGCGTCCTTTTTGCTATTGAGGGTTGACCCTTCAAACCACTTTCTATCTATATGATTAGGGCAGGTGTGTGTTTACATATAGGGAATCTGTTTTCATCATCTCTAGTGTTGCCCTAACTAGATATAGGTTTTTGATTTGTTTTGGAATTTTGCAAGGCACCATGTGAATTTATATTGATGACAAGATCTAATTCCCAAAAATAGATAAGTAAATGAAGGCATCCTAGGTGTTCAGGCACACGACGACCCAGGTTTGCAACTTCAAGAGACTTCAGAAATTAGAGTGGAGCTGAATCAGAGGAACATATTCTGCAACTCCAGTTGAATTGTTGCAGTTGAATGATTTCCTCCTCGGGTCTGTTGTTCTAGCACTGCACCTAGTCTCTGCACAACGGCTATTGGCGCTGGCAGCTCATTTTGCAGAGAGATAAATAGGGTGGGTTTTCTTCCTTCCTTTTTTAAAGCCTGGAATTGTTTATTTTAGAGTCTGCATTTAAAAAGTGTAGTCCTCAGTTCCAAACTTACCACTTGATATCCAGGAGGCATAGTGAGACAGCAGAACTCATTTCCATTGTCTCTTTGATTTGATCCAGCAAAAAATGGAAAGAAAAAAAAGACAGAGAACACAAGCAAGCATAATATATTCTTCAATTATACTTTTATATATATATTGTATTGCAGATGGAGTGAACCTGCGTCCAATTTATTCTTTGCATTCCTCCCTCCCCCTTTTTAATAAAATGTTTGCGTGTAACTAGACATTGTGGAGGAGGAGGAGGAGGAGTGGCTGCCACCCAAAACAGCATCCCTGTATCTTCTTGTTCATTCTCTCTCACATAGCCTAGAAATATAAAATGGGTGGCATGTCATTGACTCACTCCAAGCCTCCCTTCCACTCCACTTTATTGGAGAAAACTCTGTAGGTGTGATGATCAGCGTCCATGTTATTGCCAGGAAAAACAGGGAGAATGAGATAGTAGGAAGGAGCCACATTATCTCAGTAGCAAGTTTGCAGCAGCAGCAGCTACAGCATGGTGGCCTCCAACTCTCATTAGACTCTGCCGCCATGGCCGTAGGTAAGGAGTGAGAGGAGATGTAACATGCCAGTGGTGAGTCCTGTGTTGGCTCCTCCTGAGCTACACGAACTTGTGACCTTTGTGTGGGTTTTGAATATAAGTTTCCCCCCCAGTGGAGTATGCTTTTACATACATACTGCAAACCAATGGGATTCTTTTGAGGAGCTTCTACCCTTTCTCTTACTGTGCCATGCCAGGACCGGAATGCAGTTTGGCCACTTCAGCTTCACTGCTGGTAACTAAGTTCGTAGAAAAACACACTATAAATTTGTTTCTGCCAAAATTTGTTGGACTGCATTTCTTGGATTTCAATACAGTGGTACCTCGGGTTACATATGCTTCAGGTTACATACGCTTCAGGTTACAGACTCCGCTACCCCAGAAATAGTACCTCGGGTTAAGAACTTTGCTTCAGGATGAGAACAGAAATTGTGCTGCGGCGGCAGCAGGAGGCCCCATTAGCTAAAGTGGTGCTTCAGGTTAAGAACAGTTTCAGGTTAAGAACGGACCTCCGGAACGAATTAAGTACTTAACCTGAGGTACCACTGTATAGGGATTTTAGCATGCCCTATTTGCAGGGCCTGTCCCTGGTGTTTGTTTCTGGTCCTTTGCAAAGCAGTGTCCTGGTTGTGCTTTTTGGAGAGATGCTGGCAACGCCTTCTATAATAAATGTTGTGACTAAGCACTGGAGCTCTTGCGGTTTCAGGTCCTTCTTCAGATATAAAGAAGACCTGATGGGAGGTCTTCTTAATCCTCTGACTTGACCTGTGCCCTAAAAGAAGAGCATAACTGAATGGCAGTGTGCTGTAATTTTTAGATTAAGAGCCGGAAGGCCCAGGTTCAAATCACCACTCAGCCACAGAGGTTACTGGGTCAGTCGCTCTCAGCCTAACATTCACCACGGGATCGTTGTGAGCATAATTAGATAAATGGGTTAATTGCTGCTGCTATTAATAATTTGCTGTTTAGTGAAAGTTTAGAAAACTGTGGTATCTCCTGTGGAGAGAATGTCCAGGGGCAGAATTGTGTCCCCTTTCTCTTGGGGACACAAGCCGTGGCCCTTTGTATGAGCACAGAGGTATTAGAAACATAGAAAAGTATCCTCGGTTTTTTATGGGGAACATGAAATTGTTTATTGGCCTCAGAGCCAAAGGATTCTGAGACAGATCGATTGAGTGTAGTTACTCTGGGAGAAGTTAAGTTGGATTAGAGTTCAGCCAGAAGTATTTACAATGAATTTGGTTGGCTGTTCCAATTTATAGTCCCTTCTACCACTTCAGAGACTACTGTATCTCTTCCCAGTAAGCATAATAAACATTCTTACTATCAGTTAGCCTTGACATTTCAGCTTTCCAGTGCAGAGAAGGCTTTTGTTTTGTTTTATCGCAGAGAAGGTCTAAATACATTGCCCCTAATTTCACACTTAAATGGTAGATCCCAGAAAGGAAGTTCCATATGTCTTTTTTAAATACTTGAATGCAGTTGTTTGTCCTGATCATTTAGATGATTTATATAGGAACAGTGAACTGTATTCATAGGAGCCAACTCCTAGGGGCCGAGGTCCCTTAGGAACCCGAATAAAATATTTGAGTGGGCCAGGCTCCCCCAAGTTGATGGGCATAGCCATTTAAATTGTGTGTATGTACTGCATCTTGTGATTGGTTATGTGGGGCAGGGCTTACCTTCCCTCCCCCAATATTTTATTCAAGTTGGCATCCCGGACCGTTTTCATTGATCTATAGCAATGAAAGGTTTTTGTGATTAGGGATAAATTCTCCTGATTTCAGTTTAGAAATCGGAAAGGTCAGAGCAATGTTCTGTACGTTTTTTGATGGCCATTCCTTGGGTTGCACTTTCAATAGTGCTATGGGCACACACACACACACACACACACACACTCAAATTCAGTATAAAAGGCAAGAGAAATTTGGGGTAGACCATAGAAATTATGGGTGTAAATTTTAAGTATGTGCTTAAAAAATGTCAGTGATCAACACAGCTTCCGGTAAATGAATATTCATTTTAAAGCAATTCAGATTCTAGAGCTAATAATTAAATTTGAACTTTTCCCAAATGTTATGCCTGAATAGGGAAAGCCAATGTGTGTAAGGGCTATATCGGCCCTGACCCCAGGCAGGAAGAACTTTCTGATGGTAAGAGTTGTTTGACAGTGGAACGGACTCCCTCAGGAGGTGGTGGACTCTCCTTCATTAGAGATTTTTAAGCAGAGGTTGGGTGACCATCTGCCATGGACGCTTTAGTTGAGATTCCTTGTAGGCGGTTGGACTAGATATCCTCAGGGTCCCGTCTAGCGCTATGATTCTATGATTTTATGACCTCAACCTTAGATGGCCCTGCAGTTTCTTTCTCAAACTGCTTAGAGACTGTTTATATTAAGCAGTATATAAACCAGTATAGAGGGACGTGGGTGGCGCTGTGGGTTAAACCACAGAGCCTAGGACTTGCCGATCAGAAGGTTGGCAGTTCGACCCGTTGCTCGGTCCCTGCTCCTGCCAATCTAGCAGTTCGAAAGTACGTCAAAGTGCAAGTAGATAAATAGGTACCACTCCGGCGGGAAGGTAATTGGCATTTCCGTGCACTGCTCTGGTTCGCCAGAAGCGGCTTAGTCATGCTGGCCACATTACCTGGAAGCTGTTCGCTGGCTTCCTCGGCCAATAAAGCGAGACGAGAGCCGCAACCCCAGAGTCGGTCACGACTGGACCTAATGGTCAGGGGTCCCTTTACCTTTACCTAAACCATTATATGTCACCAAAACAGTGCCTGCAGGGGAATTCCCTAGTGCCCACAGCATCCCCTCCCTTTGGTGAAATTTGGCTTGAAAGGAGTATTTTATTGTACCTGTCAAAATGAGTTGTGATTGCTTGGTTGCAGGGTATGCCATGCCTATAACAGTTTTTTTCAGAAGGTGAGCAGCCCCTGATATTAAACAAACAAACAAACTGAGCGGGAAAATCTGAAGGGGGGCAACTAAGGACATTCAGCTGAAAGTATGTAGAGGCCTCCACGATGTTGTTACTTGGCATCTACAGGAATGTCAGGATCGGGCCAGTAAATTTTCCCACTACTCACATTGGCATTTCTTAACCATGCTTAACCGCTGAGCAGGGCTAGTATCTGTTACATTTTGGTTTAGAGGTTTGTTCCCCCCCCCCCCCCCAGTTCTGGAGGAGGCTTACCAGATGGAAAGATGTGAATTACTTATGCAGTGCTTAATTCAGAACTTACTCCCCATCTCAACCAATTAATGTTATTCCATTCCATTAAAAAAATGTATAGTGTTTTCTCAATTGGGAAATCACTCATGTAAGGAAAATTTAAATGAGTCCACAACTTGTGGGTTCCGACACTACTGTCAATTCTGATAGCTACACATTGAGCTGTAAGGCAGAAGGGCCTGGCGGGAAGCTTTCTTCCCTGGTCAGGGAAGAAAGGTTATTAACTGCTGTTGATTTGTTCACTTTTCCTTTGTCTTCCCCACCCCCATCCCTCACCCAGGATTTGCGCTCTGGAAAAGCAC